TCCATGGGTTAGGCACAGAGCTAGGCTAAGAGTTTTACATGTTATTTCATTTAACTCTCCTGTAACCCTCTGAGGGGGTTAATGTCAGCCCCATTTTTGCAAGTCAAGCAAGCAATTCACTAAATGAGTCTTCAGCCTTCAACTAACACCATTCCACAGATGAAGAGACTTGGGCTTGGCATTTCATTTTAATGATACAAAGTGACGTCGCTGTGGACAGTGGGTGATGGAGCTGGGACTTCGAAGTCAGTGTGTTTATTTCCCATCCACCACTTCCTTTTCTCAAGGGCTGAGTTTCTCTTGGGCAGCTGCTTTGACTTATTCATGGCTTGCTGGCAGAAGTTTACCCGATACTTGAGACAGAAAGCTTTCCAGGTCAGTTCTTTCTCAGACTGAATTGCTTGTTACCATCTTTCGGTACATTGACCCAACACTCATTTATTCTTGTGGTTTAAAATAGAAGGATTTGTTTCTTCCACTTGCAGATTATTTTAAAAAGATTGCGTCCCTCTAGTGCACCCCCTGCCCCTTCCCTCCTCGATCCATCCATCCTTCCTTTTTCTCAGAGCTAGGAATCAAACCTATGACTTTTGATATACGATTGGTGCTTTCAAAAGATGTTCACAAGATGAATCCTATCACTGGAGAATAAAGAGCTTATCAAGCAACTCTGGGGTCTACAAAGAAGGCTCTTTGGTTAAGAGCAGTGGCTGGTCTTCTGAAGGACCTGGGTTCGATTCCCAGTACCCACACGGCCACTTAACAACTATATGTAGCTCCAGCTCCAAGTGATTCTACATTCTAATACAGACATATATGCAGGCCAAATACCATTGCACATATACAAAAATAAATGAATCGCTAGGCATTGGTGGGGCACACCTTTAATCCCAGCACTCGGGAGGCAGAGGCAGGTCGATCTCTGTGAGTTCAAGGCCAGCCTGGTCTACAGAACAAGTCCCAGGACAGCCTCCAAAACAATACAAAGAAACCCTGTCTCGAAACACCCCCCCCAAATATCATTAAAAAAAGAAGTAACTGAAGTCAGGCATAGTGGGGCATACCTTTAATCCCAGCACTGGGGAGGCAGAGGCAGGAAGATATATGTGAGTGTGAGGCCAGCCTGGACTTTATAGTGAGTTCTAGGAGAGCAAAGCCACATAATGAGACCCTGTCTCAAAAACAAAACGAAACAAAACAAACAAAAACCCAAAACAAAACAAACAAAAAACACAAAACAAAACCAAAAAAAAACCCCTAACTCCTCCCCCCAAAAATTAAAAGAACAACAACAACAACAAAACCAAAGCAAAAGACCATACCTCCTACAAAAAATAACCCTACATAATCAGTTTCATTTTCTAGCCTGTGAAATTTTTTTTCTAGAGACCCATCTGAGTGAGGAATGACAGCCACATTGCAATCTGCTGTTATAGGCTGTTCTTGGCATTTAAAGCAAAAGTCTATGGCTGCACGGAAAAAATGGGAGTCAGTGGCTCTAATTACCTAAGAAAAAGGGAGATAAACACAGAGGGAGGGAGGAAGGCTTAATAAAGAAAAACAAATCCATGGGTATACTGACAATGTTCCAGAATACTTTGAATGGGCTTCTAGTAATGTATTTGTTTATTTGATGATTATTGGTTCCATGAAGTGCCTCACTTTGGTTTCTAAATGGATAACTAAGACACATCCTTCTTACTAGAGTATATCCTTCGCACTCACCTTTCTTTATTATTTTTTCTTCTCTTGTGAAGGAATAAAGCCTTTCTTCCTTCCTTCTTTCTTTCTCCTTTCTTTCTTTCTTTCTTTCTTTCTTTCTTTCTTTCTTTCTTTCTTTCTTTCTTTCTTTCTTTCTTTCTCTGTCCTAGCACTTGGGAGATAGAACAGTGCAGGGTGATCTTTGTGAGTTCCAGGTCAGCCAAGGCTATATGGTAATATCCTGTCTCAAAACAAAACAAGAACAAAATAATCAGGGTCTGTGTTCTATCTTTATTTTCTGGTTATGTGATGTTACCCAAAGTTACTTAACTTCTCTAGGTTTCTTGTGTATTGGGAACCATCATTGTCTCATCTCTTCAAGGAGGCTGGGAAGACCACAGAAACAAAAATGTGAACACTACTTGGCAGAAAGTAACTCTAAACATTAGATATGTATTTTATTTATTTAAGCCAGGTGTGTGGTGGTATACACATATAATCACAGTCCAGAGGAGGTGAAGGCAGAAGGATGAGGAGTTTAGGAGTTCAAGGTCATAATGAGTTCCAGGCCAGCCTGGACTAGACGAGCTACATGAAACCCTGTCTCCAAAAACTAAAAAGAAGGCTGACATGCAATAGGAATTCAACAAGTTTTTTCCCCCAATTCCATCGGATAGTATTTTTGTCTTTGCATTTTTCTTACATTCACTTACATTGTGTGGTAGGGGAAGGGGCAAATGTGTCACTGTATGCATGTGGAGCTCAGAGCTTCTCTCCCTCCACCATGTGGGTCCTAACTAGGCATCTAACTCAGGTTCCCAAGCTTGTGACAGGTGCCTTCACCTGTTGAATCATGATGCTGACCCTTGTTTGTTATTTGCCAGTTTGTTTGTTTTTAGACTGAATTTTATTCTCTAGCCTCGGCTGGCCTTGAAATCAAGGCAACCCTCCTGTATCAGCCTCTCAGGTGCTAGAATTAATTTAAGGCACGAGCCACCACATCACATTCCAGTAAGTATTCGTTAAATTGAGGTCACTATGACTCAGGTCTTTACTGGGTTACAATACTGAAGACTTCCATTGGATAGATAGTCATGTTTTTCAGTGCACCTGATGACACACTAGCAAGTTATCTTAGTCACATATAGATATATGTATGACAACAACTAAACAGACATGATACATACTTGGGCATCTCTTGCACATACCAGAAATGTTTAAATCATGCATAACCTTGGTCAATAGTTGACAAGAATACAAGATGATAGAAAGACAGTGTGCTTTGGACTCATTCATGCTTAGGTTCAGATTCCAGCTCTGCCCTTATCTACCAGCTATGTGGTTTGGAACATATGGTGCAAACTCTCAGTGCTGTGGTTTATTTGTAATGGAAGTATTAATGTTGGTAGAGTTTCATCATTTTTAGAATAATTTTGCTATCAAGATCAATCAAAACATCATTGGTACTAATTGTTTTCCCTTAACAGTTTCCTGGTCCCAATTTATAGATTTAAAGGAAACCTAAATGAGATATGAAAAATCCTTTCAAAGTGACATTTAAGTTGAATGTTGTGAGGCATTAAAGAACTAGAGAAGGCATAGGGATTTGATCTACACCCTGGGAACCACATATTAATAGCTTATAGTAATAGGTCAAGATGGTGGAAACATTTTTGTTTTGTTTTGAGAATCTGAGCCTGATTCTCAGCTCTAGGCAAAAGGAAACACCTCTTCTCTCTGTGCTAAGGAAATGAGGAGGAATGAAACTGTAATAGTTGAGGTGGAGGTAAAGTATGAGATTGGAGTTGTGGCAGACACAAAATATAAAACCACCAGCCACGGGAGCGCACACCTGCAATTTTAGTACAGGGAAGCTTGGAAGAGCAGGAGGATGGTCACAGCTTTGAAGTCAGCTGGGGTATGTAGTGAGTTCAAGGTCAGCCTGCTTACTTATGGAGACCCTGAATCAAAAAAACCAAAAACAGTGTGGAACCCAGGGGACTCTTGCACATTTATGCTGGGATCTGAACTCCTGTCCTCTGCAAGAACATGCAGTACTTGCTCTCAACTGCTGAACAACCCTCTCTATATACACAGACACATGTGTATGTGCAAGCATGTGTATGCAGGAGCACACACCACACACACACACACACACACACACACACACACACACAGAGTTAATATGTAGCCCAAGGTAGCCTCCAACTCAGACTTGCAATTTCTTGCCTCAACCTCTTGGTGTGGTTTGATTACACCATCACAAGAGGTGTACACCATCACAACCGGTTCACTTGTTGACTTCTGAATAACAATTAGGGGTGACTAGAGAGACATTGTGTGTGTGTGTGTGTGTGTGTGTGTTTCTGTGTAACAGCCCTGGTTGTCCTGGAACTCGATTTGTAGACCAGGCTGGCCTGGTACTCACAAAGATAATCCTGCCTCTGCCTCCCCAATGCTGGGATCAAATGTGTGCACCACTGTCCAGCTATCGGATGTACTTTAATAATTGTTTCTAAGTTCACGATAAGATTTGCCTCTTTCCTGCACAGGATCCTTTAGTTTGCTCCCCCCACCCACCCCGAGATAGAGTTTCTCTGTGTGGCTTTGGAGCCTGTTCTGAAACTCACTTTGTAGACCAGGCTGGCCTTCAACTCACAGAGATCCACCTGCCTCAGGCTCCTGAGTGTTGGGATTAAAGGTGTGTGCCACCACCGCCCAGTTTGAATTTGCTGTTTTTACAGTGAAAAAAGTTTCTTACTCTAAACCCGCAAAGCCTTTTGAAGTTACTTTCCTTCCATCACCAATATACAGGATGGTTTATAGGCAAGTCTAACTGCCGTTCCAAATTCATCTATTATACTCGCACAAATGCAGCTACATAGTGATTATGCTGCCAAGTTTAATCTCTGAATCCCACGAGGAGTCCAACTAAGGTGTGTAGGAATGAAATGTTCTACACTTTGGAGCAAACTTTCACTTTGGCAGGATTAGTGGGAGGCTGATGTTCTGGAGGTGGGGAGAGGGAAGAAGAGTGCAGATAAGCTCATCTCCCTTGGATTTCCGGGCTGAACAGCATGCACCTGACGCCCGCGTGGCAATCAATACCCTTCAGAGGGTGGAACTGGACCAAGCCTTGCGCTCCAGGCAGCCAGGGTAACGCCGCCCAGCGTAAGTATTCGCGCGCTCCCGTGCGCGCGCTCCCGTGCGCGTGTCTCGCGCAGGGTCGGGCCTGTCAGGCAGGAAATCTCGCGAGATCTGAGACTGAGATGTCTGTCGGGAGGAGGGGAGTGGTGTCGGGGAAGGGGGGGAACCTGGGCAGCGGCCGAGCTCTGTGGCTTCAGGGCTTGGAAGGCGAGAGGGAGGGTGGTGAAGAGAGTGAGTCGGTGCCGCCGCCCGCTTGAGGAGAGAGGAGGGGTCCCGCTCGCCTTGCGCCCTTCGCGGGCTAAGAGTGCGGAGCAGTCGCGAAACTCCCAGGCCTCTCGGCCCCTGGGGACCCCGCCCCGCCGCCCGCCGGCCCGCGGCCTCTCTTCCCTTTGTGAGTGCCCCCTTCCCAGGGGTGCTGGTGGTGGCGGACGGGTGCGCGTGGGCCCGCCCGCCGAGGGGCCGCGGCGGGGGACCGACAGGGCCTCGGCTGTGAGGACCGGAGGCGGCCGAGGCCCGGGCCGGTTCCCCCGAGGCGGCGGCGGCGACTCCCGGCACTTCCCCGCGCCATCTTAACTGAGTCCGAGCGTTAAGGGCGCCTCCTCGACCCCGGTCGTCCCCTCGTCCTCCCCCCCCCCCCCCCGGCCCCTTGTCGCAGAGCTTGGGCTGGGCGGCTGGGGGGGGGGGGGGCGGCGGTCTGTCGCCCGGCCCCCTCCTCCTCACTCCTGGCTCTCCAGCACCGCGGCCACCGGAGCGCTCTAGGGGTCTGCGCTCGTCTACTCCGCCCCAGACCTGCCGGCGAAGGGGTAAGGGCACCTCTGCTTTGGGAAAGCAAGACATGGAGGGGGCGGGGAAATTCGGCCCACTCAGGCCTCTCTGGGTGGATGAAAAGATCTAGGGGTAGGGTGGGGGAGGGAGACAAGGAGGGTCTGTGATCCTGGGTGGGGTGAAGAAACTGGTGAGCTAGGCAACCTCCTGTTTCTAGGGGCCAGAGCAATTGCATTCCTTTTTCCTGAGGGTCACCGGAAGAGGTGGTGGAAGGGGATGTTTCTAGGAAGGTGTGGCCCTAGTAGGGAGATTTGAGTTGACGTGCGCCCCGATTTAAAGGCGCGAGGTCCCTTTCTGGTCTCATCCTGCTCCTCCTCCTTTGTAGTGTCTGTATTCTTAGGCGTGGAGAATGCCCTGGGTAGCCAACTGGATGACTCCCCCCCCCCGGAAATCTATACCTTTCTTCTGTAGGGGGTGATGGAAGCATTTCTAACCCCTTACCCTCCCCCTTCTTGGTCCTCTAGTCTGCTGCAATGCTGCAGAAGTCCAAGTCAGTTTCTTCATACACAGACACATGTATATACTGGCGGGGGGGGGCAGGAGCTGCAAGTAATGGCGTTTCCCTTGGAGTTGTTTTTTTTTTTTTCTCTTTGGTTTAAATCGATTACAGTACTGTTCAGATTCTTCCCCTGAGATCTGTCCGTGGGAAGTGTGTCCGCTCTTGTTACTGTTCGGGTATGGTCTCATGTTAGAACAGTTTTGATGTTTCTCTTGATCTGTTTTGAGACAGAGGAAGATGCCTGGATTGACTTTTGGCGTGGGGGTGGGTTGGGTTAGTTTTCGTTAGAATTTGTAATTTTATATCCCTCCCCTTCTTTCCCCTTCCCCCTTTCCTGTTTAGCTTTTGTAGTTCTTTTAGAATTAGAAATTATTACGTTCAAACTGTCAGATGATCAGACATTTGTCCCTGGGCTGTGACTTTGTAAGGTTAATACTGTTTTGCATGACATTGATACAGAAACTTCTGAAAATGACTATGTTACAAACTTTTCTGTAGCATTTGTTGCTTCTTAAGGAAATGCAGGGTAATGTTCCCAGTTATGCTGTGATCTCTATCCTGTACTCATCTTTTCCGCTTTTGCTTCATGTCATACTATTTTAAAAGAAACCGTCTTGTCTGGTTTGCCAACAATAATTGATTTTGTCTTTAGTAGAGTAGAAGTAAGAATAACAGTTTTAGAGTTCTGGCAGGTGCCTTTTGAAACAAAAAAAAATTCGCTTTCAAGTTCTGAAGAAGTCTTGATGTATGTTTTTTAACTTTTTCTTTCTTCCTTAAAAGAGTCTTGATATACAAACCATCCTCACCTCCCACCTTATAGACAGGGTCTCTGTATTTAGGCTGCCTTGAACTCCTGCAGTCTTCCTGTCTCACCCTCTCATGTGCTGGGATTCCAGGTGTAAACCTCCACACCTGACTCTACTTTTTTCTTTTTTTGGGGGGTGTTCGAGACGGGGTTTCTCTGGCTTTGGAGGCTGTCCTGCTCTACTTTTTTCTTTTAACTGTTTAGATTTACTAGATATTTAAAAATGTTTCATATTTGAACATTAGCAATAATAAAGATTACTGAAATATGTTAATGAATTGTGTTGATATTTTATTAACAAATCACATTTGATGTCTTTTTATTTGATGAGTTACTTTTAAATTATGAATACAAGGATTTAAAGATGTAGCAGTAGTGCTAGGCATTGATTTCAGTTCTGCCTCATGTAGCCTAGGCTGGTGTAACTGTAGCTGAGGAAGACTTTACTGATACCTCTGTCTCCCACTTCCCAAGTTCTAGAATTAGAAGTATGTGCCATCATCCAGTTTAAATTTTTTAAACGGGGCCTTTTTTGAAACCATCAAAAACCAAAAACCAAACAAACATAAAAAACCAGGGTCTTAGTACACTATACAGCGGTGAGTTCCCGGGCTTGTCTGCAGTTTGCTATGTAGGCCAGATTGGCCTCCAGTTTACAAGGATCTGCCTGTCTCAGCCTGCTGTGTGGTGGGATCAAAGGTGTGGGCCACCATGCTTGTCCTAAATTCTTTTTTTTTTTAGTTTTTTTTGGTTTTTTGAGAGAGGGTTTCTCTGTGTAGCTTTTTTTAGGGTTTGTCCTGGAACTCCCTCTGTGGACCATGCTGACCTCGAACTCAACAGAGATCTGCTTGCCTCTGCCTCAGGAGTGCTGGGATCAAAGGTGTGCACCACTACCACCTGGCTAATTTCGTTTATTTCATGATTTTGAGAATGCTGCATTATGTTTTTCTCAAAAAATGAAATTATTCTCTTTTAGTATTCATCTCAGTTCATTTAATGTAAATAGTTCCGGTCATTTGACTCTCTCTTTTATTGGAAGGGGATTGGGGAACAAGGTTTTGTGTAATACAGATTATCTTCACATGAGTCGCTGAGCCTCGCTAGCCCTGAACTGTACCTCATGCTTAACCTGTGCCAATGTGCCTGGAATTCATTGTTTTTGTTGAGAGGAGGTTCTTGCTATGTAGTCCTGGCTGGCCTTGAATTTGTGGCAGCTCTTCTGCTTTACGTTTCTGAGTGCTGAGCTACTGTGATCAGCTTCATTTTGAGCCTCTACTTTATGACACAAAGTACATGCTGTCCTGTTTGCAGAATATATAGTTTTCTCATACAGGAAAAATTACACTGTGATGCCTGATTTTGTGTTTTTTTAAAGATTTATTTATTTATTACATATTCGGTGTTCTGCCTACATGCCAGAAGAGAGCACCAGATTGAATTACAGATGGTTGTGAGCTACCATGTGGTTGCTGGGAACTGAACTCAGGGCCTCTGGAAGAGCAGTCAGTGCTCTTAACCTCTGAGCCATCTCTCCAGCCCCTGATTTTGTGGGTTTTTTTTTTCTTTTTCTTTTTTTTTTTTTTTTTTTTGGTTTTTCGAGACAGGGTTTCTCTGTGGTTTTGGATGCTGTCCTGGAACTCACTTTGTAGACCAGGCTGGCCTCGAACTCACAGAGATCGGCCTGCCTCTGCCTCCCGAGTGCTGGGATTAAAGGCATGCGCCACCAACGCCCGGCTGATTTTGTGTTTTAAGGTTTATTGTTGATAATAGATTCATATACTAGTAAGTATAAATCCAAACATACTGCTTAGTAAAGAGTGATTGTTTTTATCTTGGAAAGATGAAAGAAGAGAAATTAATCAGTAATGGCCAAAAAATTTAAGGATATACACAGGGTGTAGCTTTAATTGCTTACTTTACTATTTCCTATTAGAACTAAGGCATCCTCTTGAAAGCTAACAGGAGCTCTTCTCTAAAAGTGACAAAAGTATGCTGGTGATGAGTTAAATAAATCATTATTAAGGAAAGAACTGACTGAGGGTTATTTCATGACCTCTGATGCTGACCCACTGTCCGTGAATACTGAGAGCTCTTATTCTGAGTTGATTCCAGATTAGTGTGATGCTTATGTTTCTAAATAGTTCATCCACAAAATGGAGTGTACATCACTTCCTGTTCTTTCACAACTGGCTCTTTCTCTGGATTCCCTTTTAATGACTTAATTTTTGGCATTCTGATATCTGATTTGTTAATTTGGTTATTCTCATGTTTTATAAGTGGAGGAATTTCTAAGAATCAACTTGTTTAGAGGCTTTTGATGGAGTACTTTTTTTTTTAAAGGCATGTCATTTGTGAATCCCAGCTGGTCTGAAACTCAGTAGGTAGACCAGGGTATACTAAACTTGCAGCAATTCAGCCTTTGCTTCTTGAGAACTGTGATTACAACTAATCCACCAAGACTGATTTAAGAGTGTCTTTGTGTGTGTGCATATGTCTGTGTGTTAGAGGAGGATGTTGAATGTTGTGCTTTATCACTGTCTGCCTTATTCCTTTAAAACCAAGGTATCTTGGCTGAATCCAGAGGTTTGCTGATGGCCTGTGCACATGGCCAAAGCTAGATTTTTTTACGTGGGTTGTGGAAATTTGAACTCAGACTCTCATGCTCATTCACTAACGGCTCTTACCCTCTGAATCATCTTCCTGCACCAGGAATACCTCTCCCCATCTCCCCCAAACAGAGTTTATCTGTGTAGCTCTGGCTGTCCTGGAACTCGCTGTGTAGACCAGGCTGGCCTTGAACTCAAGAGATCCGTCTGGGGCTGGAAAGATGGCTCAGAGGTTAAGAGCACTGACTGCTCTTCCAGAGGTCTTGAGTTCAATTCTCAGCAACCACATGGTGGCTGACAACCATCTACAATTCAATCTGGTGTATATGTAATAAATGAATAAATAAAAAAGAGAGATCCGTCTGCCTCTGTCTCCTGAGTGCTGGGATTGAAATCGTGCGCCACAACTACTTGACTTCAAGAAAATCTTAATAGTATCAAAACATTGATTCTTAGCCCTTCAGTGGAGCCTGCTTTTAATTCCAGCATTTACGAGGCAGAGGGAGGTGGATCTCTGTGAGTTCAAGGCCAGCCTGGTCTACAGAGTGAGTTCCAGGACAGTCAGGACTGTTTCACAGAGAAACCCTGATTTATTTATTTATTTATTTTTTTTTTTGTTTTTACGAGACAGGGTTTCTCTGTATTGTTTTGGAGGCTGTCGGTCCAGCCCGGCCTTGAACTCACAGAGATCCGCCTGCCTCAGCCTCCCAAGTGCTGGGATTAAAGGCGTGCGCCACCACCGACCGGCTTGAGAGACCCTGTTTAGAAGAAGTAAAAAACAAATTTAAACTTTGATGAAAATTACCTATTTTGCTGTGCTGAGGATCAAACCCTGGTCCTTGAGGATGCTAGGCAAGTAATATCACTGAGTTACATGCCCATAGTCTGAAAAGGTTAAAAGAGATACCGTAGTATACAGAACCAAATATATGGGTACACCAAATAGGAAATAATTACTGTATTTTCTATAATTCATACTTTTAGAGAATTTTGGATATAGCAATTATTTCCATCTTAATACAAAGTAAGACTATCTTAGGGCTAGGAATGTAGGTCAGTGATAAGCTT